TCCTTCCTTTTTTGCTTTAATTTATTATAATAAGCTCTATCCTTTAAAACGTATTTACCATTAATTCTAAAGACTTTGGGTTTGTAGCTGCTACTGCTATTGTTAATAATACCATTATTATTATCACTGTTATCGTTGGGCTTAGAAGAAGGAGAGAGAGGTGGAAAGAAAGAAACAATCAGCAAGAGAATCATCCTCAGAAAGAATATCCTTGAAAATCATATTTTTTATTTACCTGTGATGATGTATAAGCGAACCAGCTAGCAGATGGGACTAAATCTGTTTTAAATTTCTTTAATGGCGGTGATTGTGAGTTTTCATCCTTTTTCTCATCATCGACTGCACCATTGTTATTAGAACTGGATGGTGATGATCTTTTATTTGATCGGTGAGTAAGATTCTTAATTCTCTCCCATCGTTCGCCCACAATTTTATTCATTTTCTTTGTATCTTCGTCTTCTTTGTCTTCTTGAGTCGCTACTGGGTTTGATTCTATATATTTTTTATATGCAACGTTGTATATTCTTTTATAATAATCCCAGTCAATCTCATCATCCTTAATATCATCACCATCATCACTACTATTATTAGTGTCACCAGTATCAGTATCTTTATTTTTATCGCTTCCAGGAATAAAGAGTTCCTTTAATCGTTTAATAACACTATTATTTTCAAGTAGCATAGTGGACATTCGTTTTATCACATGTGACAAAATCGATCGTTGATCTTTTTTATTATTATTGTTGTTGTGAAACATGAATTTAGAATAGAAAAAAGTCGTGTGACTGCGCACAAAAACTTGTTTAACCTGAGATTATTTTTTTAACGTGTATATTTTGCTTTCTATGTTTTCAGTATGTGTGTGAAAAATGATCAAATGTTCAAGTTGCTTTCGAAGGGTTACATAGGAGCTATATTTCAAGCTTTAGTGATCAACGTAAGTATATTGTAAGACATTCTAGTACTAGCCTCAGAATCATGCATTTTTGTTTTATAATATGTTTATTTAAAATTTTACCAATACAAACATTTCGGAAATAATCATTTCTTCATTTTAATTCAATGTAACAAATTATCATTAACCATTATCTTTTTCTAGTCTATTATTATTATATAGGATTTTATATTTGAGACAACACCTTTTTTATAAAGTTCTATGACCATGTATTAATGTTATACCTTCTTGTTCATCCTCTTTGATCACAACATCATTATTATTGACAAGAGATGGAGAGAAAGAAAAATGTGAGAAAGCTATCTATGATGAATGATAAGCTCTCACTTGTAAATATTATTATTTATTTTTTTTGTTATATAAACTTGATATATTAAATTTTGGATAATATTTTATTTATTATAGTGAAAGAATTATTTAAACACACATGCATATATATCTTTAGAGGAACCATTAGTAGCAAGAGGTTTAATGATATTCAATTATTACAATGCATAAATATATATAATTTAGTTTCTAAAAAAAAAATTTTTAAAAAAAAGGTGATTGATAACAAACAAAATTGTTTTATGTGTATTATGTGGATCAGATTGAATAGGGAATCTTACTGACAAATGGTTTTTGGTATTGATTTGAGAGTTAATTGTTATTTTCTTTTTTTATTCAAGAGAATTGTTTTGAAAGTAGGTCACTTATGTATTTTGATTAATTACATAATTAGAGAACATTATTTTTGATTTTTTAATGATGCATTTAAAAAACAAGAAAGATTTTTAAACAACAACAATAGATATACTCAGGGTGTAATTATAAGGTGATTTATACAATTTAAAAAATGTATTTAAAATATATTTCTTTTATATATATATTTATATTTATATTTATATATTTACATATTTGCATTTATTTTTATTTTTATTTTCAAAATTCATATATTCATTCATATTCATGTCACCAATTTATTTATTTATAAGAAGTGTCAGATATATATATACAGTATTATATAATGGATGACAATTCATGATCAAAGGTAAAATGTTGATTTGATGAAGTCAATGAAAAGTTGAAAAGTAAATAATATATAACAAAAAACCAAGCCTATGTATTAAAAGCATTCAATAAAGAAATACTATATTAATTTTTTTATTTATTATAAAAATTTTATTTTTATCAATTTGAAACTAAATTTCCTTCTCTCCATCCGATATTAAGTTTTTCAAATTTGCGTGACGATCTTCAAGCCAATAAAATTTAATTTTTGCGTGATATCTGGAAGGGAGATCGTCACAAATGAAATCAAATGTCCACTATGCTTTTTCAAGTTTATTAACCAATTTGTTCGAATGAATGGTAGAAATAGATCGTGGTGGTGGAATGGAAAGGATGGTAGGTTTTTGATGTGGTGTCTTTGGATAATAGAGGTTTCTATGATAAAACGAACTTGAAAGTGCATAATTTCTGTGATTATGCCTAACTGGACCAATATTTGGAGATTGTTGATTTACAATTTCTTCTTCAGTTGCCATAAGAAATTTTTTTTGAATATCGATCGTTCTTTAGGGGAATACCCAAATTTCAAGATTTATTACTAGGCAATAATATATAATTGCTATTATTATTACTATTACTATTATTGTTATTGTTATTAGAGATCAAGTTTAAATATATTAAGTGCTCGCATATTTTTGATCAATTCATTATAATTTTGTGAGCGAATTTATCACTTAATATTAGTATTAATAGTATTAACACATCACGATATTTAACGGTGATTTTTTGGCGATTTCCTGAATTGAAAAAATTAGATTATATCTATTTATGTATTATTATTATATGCAATCTATAAATTTATGTACCATTTATTAAAATTGAATGTTTATCTATTAATATCCCTTTCATGAATTATAATACCTTTTTATTAACAATACAAATAACGAAATTAATTGAATTGATCGAATAAAGTAGGTAAATGCGGTCATTGTGTAATATTTGAAATTTTTGGGGAAATTTGAAATTAAAAAAATTTAAATAATTTAATAACAATAAACTTTTGTTAATCAATAAATTAACCAATTACTGTTAAAATCGAAAAAACTATATATTTTGTCATACAAATAAATAAATATAAAATCAACTATAGAAAATTTATTAAATTAAAAAAATCTTTTCTGTAAAATATTTTATTATTGTTAATGTTTCTTTCTTTTTTTTATAAAAAATCCAAGAAATAAAATTTACACAAATCTTCCACACTCCTTTCAAATTCCAACTTTTTCGTATTCAGATTTCACTACTGAAAGTGGTGAATCGTTTAAAATTTTTGGGGTGGTTTGTACATTTGTTTTTTTGAAATTTTGCTTCTCACATTCGTTTATCATACCAAAATATCAAGTCACAGGTCTTTTTTATTAAAAAAAAAAAATGCCAATAATTACTACAACAAATAAAACTGCTACTTGTACTTGGACACCTTTAGCACAATTTGCCTACGGATTTGCTATTTATCCTTTTACTCCTGGCGCACAAAACAATTCTTCATCAGATTCTACCAAAGCTCAAAGTATAAAAGAATCAGTACCGATAGTTAATAATAATAATAATGACAGTAATATAAATAGAAACAATCCAGATGCTAATAAAAAGGTTGATGATGCCATTGATTTGAAATCTAAAGAAAAAAAAAAAGGGCTAATTTCTGAAAATGGTACCACAACCGTTGTTGTTGACGACGACGATAAATCAAATTCTAAAATTGATTCTGATTCAATAGTTTGTAATTCTAATCATGAATCACAAGATCATGATCTCCAATCTGACAATAATAAAGATAATGATGGAAAGGTTTTAAGCGAATCAGGAGATCGTGAGAAAAATATACAAAAGGATAATAATAGTAATAGTAATGATAATTCTTCAGATTCAGTATCAATGACTTCAAAGCCATATACAACAAACTCACATGTAATATCATATCAAGTTGCACTTGAAATTGGTGACGAGGTTTATGTTTTTGAAGAGCAAGGTGCTTGGTATCGTGGTTATGTTGTTTCTAAATTACATCAAACTGAAGAACCTCAAGTATTTGTTGGAATTTTCCCAAAAAATCACGTTTATATAAAAGAATATCTTGATGATGTTGAATTACAAGCTACTGAATCAACAAAATCTTCTAATGATGCTGCTTCATTTACCTCTACTGCTAATGAAAAAGAGAAAATTATCTCTACTAATGACAATGATAATGACGATAATAATGATAGTGATAATGATGATAATACTAGACCTCCTCCGCCTCTGCCTTCACTTGAATGTGGTGATGATACGATAAGTGGAAAGAATGAGCCTTTAATAGACGAGATTTCAAGTGCAGTCAGAGAATGGTGTAGCCTTTTGCCTACTTATTTGGAAGAAAGAAAATATTCCATGTTTAGAACTGTTAAAGATCAAATAAATGATTTATTACAGGGTCGAAGACAATTACTTGCTCAAACCCTATCTCATGATGAGCTGATCCAACTACGTAAAGAACTTATCAATAAACTTGTTTCAGGTAACATAATTCAAGGCTTAGATATTGTTGTTAGGCATCCAGAAAAAGGTTTTCTTGCTGATGAAACAAATGTATCAGCTATTCGTCTATATCAATTGCAAGGTCAGTTGTCAATTCCTAATACAGAAAAATTGAAACATGATTCATCATTATCTTTCAATAGTCCTACTACTATTTTGAATTCGTCATCATCGTCATCATCGTCATCATCACCTATAACATCATCGTCATCCTCCACCACTTTATTACAAAATAATTCCTCATCCGTAACAACCCCAATAAATACCACTAATGATAGTCTTAGTCATACACCAAAGTTTTATCATGTATTTTTGGATTTAAAAGCCTTGGTCGCTTCAATTTCCACTTTTGGCGAATACACGGAATTATATTTTTCTTTGTACACAAAGACAGATTCAAGATTTCTTACAGGAGAATATTGTATTATACTCGATCGTAATAATATACCAAAAGATGAATCGAAGATTCATAAAATTAGAACATTGTTTACGGATCTTTCCTCTCACGACATTCAAGAACGAGTCTTTCTTATTTGTAGAATCATTCGTACAGGAAGTATGAAAATGGAAAACAAAGATAAAGACATTTTAAAAGACAGCAACTCTATGAAATCACCATCATCATCTTTTTCTTCGCAAAACAATCACAATACAAAATCACAAACTTTTCGTAGACCTTTTGGTTGTGCTATACTTGACATAACTCATTTGATTCAAGGAAAAGAAAAAGAATCTGCGAGTGAACACGCAATGCAAATCTATGTGCCCACCCAAGAATCCACTTTTGCTATTTTGCATGAAGATATTATTTATAACCGTGTTAAAGAATTTGAAAAATCTTCAAGAGCAGAAACAATCAGTGTATCAATTCGTTCATTTTATGGTGAAGCTGCAACAATCATCAAGGAAAATTCTGATCTACTCCAAGATATCACTATTACATCTCGCCTCGGATTTGCTGATGTGGTATTTCCAGGTGATGTAAGAAATGAAATTTATCTTAAACTTTGGTCTGGTGATTTTACTCAGGGTAGAGCTACAACTGCCAAAAATATTCAAGTAACAGCAGTAGTTAGATTGGATTCTGGGGAAGTTTTAGAAAATGTCATTTCTCAAGGATCTGGTGAACCACCCGTAACATATTTCGAATCAATTGTTTTTTACCATTCAAATAATCCAACTTGGGGTGAATTTATAAAATTGACAATTCCATCTGATTTGTTTGAGCGAGCACACGTTTTCCTAACTTTTAAACATCGATCGACAAAAGATAAAAAAGAAGATAAAATTTTTGCTTTTGGATACTTACCACTATTTCCTGAAAAAAGAGCATTCATTAGTGATGGAAAACATACATTGTCTTTATATAAACAGGATAAACAATTAATAAATCCTTCATCTTATTTAAGTGTGCCCTGGTCATCATCAGCTACAATATCTGATACAGCTTCTATACATTCCACAAATAGTTCTAATATGTCATCACATAAATTGATCTCTTCATCAAAGGATACAGCTGTAGTTTGGACATATTTATGTTCTACAAAATATACACAGAACGAAGTATTACTTAAATTATTAAATTGGGAAAAACAATTATTATCGGATGAAAATGAGTTGAAGTCAGTTTTAAAAAAATTTACTTTCGTTGGTGAGGTGGAGATTGTTAAATTTCTTCAAGATATTTTTGATGCGTTATTTGGTATTTTGATGTCAGCAAGAAACCAACGAAGAGAATTAGATGATTTAATATTTAATGCATTTGTGACTATCCTTGGAATAGTTTCTGATAGAAGATTTATGAATTTTAGACCTGTACTTGATGTATATATCGAAAACCATTTTTCTTGTGCTGCTGCTTCATCTCACTTTATCAGATCAATGAACCGTTTAGTCTCTAATCCAACCAGTGTAGAAACTGCAAAAAATCTACGTTCTACTATCAAGGTTTGGCAATATATTTTCAAATTTATTATGAGGTCCAGGGAACTACAAAGAACAAAAGAAGCAAATATGGGTCTGTCAGGAAATTATGTTGAAGAACAATTCAAAAATGATCTACTCTCTTTATTTAAAAGTATAGACAAATTGATGTCAATCACCACACCACAATCAATAATTGGCACTCAGACATTAGCTTTACAATATTTCGGCTCTATTTTCACTGATCTTGGCAAATGTTTTTCACCTGATGACCTAGCATTGATTGCAATACGATTTATTGAATCAGTTCGATTGCCTAAAGGAAAACTTTTGTCTTATAAACTTTTGGTGATTCTACAATTTTGTCGTGGTCCATTATTTGAAAATCCCGAGTCTAGAGCAACTCTAATACCTAGAATAGTTGAATGGCTTTCTGATCATATGGGTAGATGGGAAATTACAAATAAACCAACTAATGATCATGAAACTCTGAGATTACAATGGCAAGATGGTATTAGGTTAAGTGTATCTATTTTGGCGGTCATGTTGGAGTATCTACAGAATTCAATTGAGAAGGCTTCAAATGACGAAGAATCAACTAAAAGAGAAATTGAAAATGTGATAGCACTTCTTCCATTATTGATGAAACTTTGTGAATCTTATCGAGAATTGCATATTACTTCTTTTGATGAACATGGCAGCTTACATCATGAACGAACTCCAAATAATCTGGGAACAACAACATCAACCATAAATTCATATCGACACTCAAAAGATTTTCCCTTTTTCCAATCGTCAGACACAATCTCTAGTGGTTTGGGTGAGATATCAACAATTTTATTACAGGTAATGGATTTAGTATCGCAAAAACACATGAAAGAACACCTTCTATCAACTTATTATAGAGAAGGGCACGATTCTACAGCAGAATTTCTGATTATTTTGTTCCAAGTAGCACGATCAGTGTTGATAAATGATGCATTTCCAAAATCATGGTTAAATATGAATATTATGACTCATAAAACCTTTTTAAAAGTTCTTGAACCAATATCAATAATGATGGAGAAAAATTATATACCAGATAAAAAAGCACCAGATTCATTTAATGAAGAGCTTTGGAGAGAATATTTCAATTGTCTTTTGTGCCTGCTTACCAGTAGACATCTAGTGATTGAAGATTTCACACCACAAAAACGTCGTGCAACATGGAGATTGGCAGGTGATATTCGTGGACAAGGAGCAAGATTATTATCAACGTTATGGAATGCTATTGGATGGGAACAGGGCAAAGAAGGAAAAATGGGTGGTTACCAAGTTCGATTCATAAACACTTTATTAGGTCCAATGTTGGAATTGTGTCTATCTCATCATGATGAGTTACGTTCTGCTGCAGTCACCGTTTTATTCAATATGATAGTAACACAATATACATTAGAAGGAGATTTGAAGCAAATTGAATCTGACATTATTGATATATTGGATAGACTCTTTATGTCTGATTCTAAAGGTGATGAAGTGTCTCGCACATATTTTATTGTACAATTGAAAGGGTTATTTGAAGGATCTTTGGTTGATATTGACTTAAGAGATGCAATGATAAAGTTCTTGGATTCTTTGAATGAATTTTTGGAACTTTTACTTGGTGTTCGTGAACTACCTGAAGGTGAAGAATTCCAGGATGATCGAATCATGTGTACACTTAAACTTATGAAATTCATAAAAACTATTGAAAGGGATCAGATTTATATCAAATATGTGCATCAACTTGTTCAAATGCAAGTAAACAGTAAAAATTTTGTTGAGGCAGCATTAACACTAAAATTACATTCAGATTTATACGATTGGGATCCAAATATTGAAGTAGGAGCAATACCAGAATTAGACTTTCCCAAGCAATCAGCTTTTGATAGAAAGGAAAGATTGTATATTCAATCATTGGATTATTTTGTTAAGGGAAAAGCTTGGGAATGTGGCATAGAAATATGTAAAGAGCTGGCCAAACAATTTGAGTACACCACATTCGAATATCAACGTTTAAGCAATATACTTAAGCAACAAGCTGTACTTCATGAGAATATCATAAAGAAAGAACGTTATTTCAGTGAGTACTTTAGAGTTGGATTTTACGGTAGAGGATTTCCAGCCAGTTTACAAAATCGACAATTCATTTACCGTGGTCTTGAATGGGAAAAAATTGGTGCATTTTGTGAACATATGCAGAACAAACATCCACAGGCTCAACTACTTAAATCAAATAGTCCTCCAACTGATGATATTCTTTATGGAGATGGGCAATTCCTTCAGGTGTCAGCTGTAACGCCAGAACCAGATAAAAATCTTCCTTTATTTAAAAGAGATGCTCCATCATCTATTCGCTCCTACTATGAGTATAATTCTGTAAACACATTTAGTTTCTCTAGACCTGTAAATAAAAATCCTGATGGTGTTAAATCAGGCAATGAATTTTTAGATTTATGGACAGAAAAGACCATTTTAGTTTCTGAAGACCATTTCCCAACTGTTTTACGACGGTCTGAAGTGATTCAAGTAACTGTATTTGAAGTTTCACCGATTGAAAATGCAGTGACTACAATGAGATCCAAGAATAGAGAATTATTGATTTTAGAATCTAAATATAGGGCATTCCTTAATTCCAATAAAGTGGGAACTGCCAAGGTCAACACTAATCCTTTATCAATGTCACTAAACGGAGCAGTAGACGCACCTGTAAATGGTGGTGTACCTATGTATAAAAAAGCATTTTTTGACCCTGAATTCATATTGACCAATCCTGATAAAGAAACACTAATAAGAAATTTAAAAGAATCAATTGATGAGCAGGTTTGTAAAATATTATCAAAGTTATGATTAATAAGTTGTTTGTTTAAAATTGAATCATGTCATCATCATCATCATCATTATTATTACAGGTTGAAATTGTTGATAGATGTTTGCAAATACATAATTTCTTGGTGTCACATGAAATGCGGCCATTACACGAAACTTTGGTTAAATGTAATAAGTTTATTATCAATTATATATTCTTTGATATTCATCCAAAATATTTTAAATAACAAATAATTATAATATTTATTTTAGTTTTCCATAAAAATTTTGCCGAAGAAATTAAACGATTAACAGAACGTAGAAAAGCAAAAAATGAAGAATCAAAACAGATGACAACGAATATGCATCACAATCATCATCAAGTCGTATCATCAATTGTTCCATCATCACCGAATTCGCCATTTTCCCCACCATCATTAAATGCCAATAATAATCACCGTATTCCATCGTTTTATGCAGCTTCACAATTAAATGGTGGACAAATATCACCTACATCACCTACATCACCAATTGGTTCATCATCGTCATCGTCATCATCATCAATAATTAATAGGGTTGCAGCAGCAACAGCAAATTTATCTAGATCTTCATCATTGCAAGCTGGTTATAATTATAATAATAGTCTAGCCAACAATAATAATAATCATCAAGTTTTACATAATAAAAGGATATCTGGGCCATTGTCATCTGATGTTAATGGTGGTAACAATAGTATTATTACCAAATCAAATAGTTCTAATGGAATTATACTTTCAGATACTCCAACGCTTGAAAAAAGAAATACCTTGTCAGAAAAGAAAAGATCGTTGATATTTGCTGAAAGAAGAATGACATTCAGAGGCTGGTCATTTAATAGGAATAAAAATCCAACTGATTAATAATTAAATAAATTATACATACTATACACACATACACATACATATATAATATATAGAATAATAGAATTATAATTATTACAGTAGTGGGAATTTTAAAAATCTTTGAGAAATTTATTAATTTTTAATTTTTTTAATTTTTAATTTAATTTATTAATAAAAAAAAACCAATTTATTTATTTATCTTCCGTCCCATTATTGTATTATGTCTATTACAGCATTCATGATGGTTACGTAATATTTGACAAACATATTTTTTTTAAATTTATAAATGCGAATAAACTGCATCATACAAGCAATAATAATAGTACTAGAAATGAAAATTTGAGGAACAGTTTTGAAAAACCATATAATGTCCCGAGAAAATTTGGAAGATAAGTCCCTGATATTTTTGTTGAATTTTAATCCGAGCCTCCCTTCCTTGTCATCCAAGTGGTAATGGGAAAATTTAGTGGTAGAGTCTCTATTTTGGTCTCTGGGTCTCTCCAATTGTATACAGTTACGAATCGTAAAGAATAACATTGAATCCAACATATTGAGCTTGTGTGTCATATTTAACAAAATTATCCATTTTACATCTATGGAGGCCTCCCCGCTATCCTCATGATAGCGATAATGATTCCTGGCAGTGGAATAAATCAAAATCTGCTGGTGGTCATACCAACAATACGTCTACTTCTGCTTGATTCTACTTATTGATTTGAGAATTAGAATATTTATTTGTAATCTTCAAAAATCTAGAATGATATGGACAAGTTCAATGACTCCTCCTACCTATAGCCATTTTGCTAATTTTCGATGACATTCATTCACCAAGAATGCAATAAATAAATTAGACTTTTTATTGCCTTTATCTGCTATGTAGCGATTGACTCATCTGCATCATCTAGAAATAAATTTTACAAAATATCATATATAATATTGTAATATATTACAATTTCTGATATAGCATCTGAAAAAAATTCCTAATGGATACACCTAGATACAGGAGAAGCGGAGAAAGTGATAAAAGCGGAGGCGATTGGGAATGGGAGGTTTATTAAATGAAAATAAACATCGTAATATTAGAGAGAATTTAAGAAAATAAATTAACCATAACTACATTTATTTCGTGACTCACTTTCTTCTTAATTACAAAGATCATTTGTCTCATGTTGACTGACAATTTGGGACAAAACGACCGATCATAGTAGAAGTTTCAACACACTCTATTAGATTTATTATTCATATTCATATTGTATACGCTATTATTTCAAAGGTCCGAAATTCAACTTAATAAAATTCCGAGTCTCTCAGTCACCTTGAAGGTTGTATTAATCCATTTTTCTAAAACGAAACGATCTAAAATTGAAGCATAGAATGATTCTACTTCTTGGGATCAAAATAAACGTTGAAAGTTTATAATTGTTTATTGAACCATTATTTTTCGTAATAATATATTTGATAAGATATTCCTTGCCATCCAGTTACGTGACAATTGACATAATTATTTGTATTAGTTCACGTAGATCAACGAAACGAAGTAGTCATCATTTCAATATTTGATCATGCGTCTTTTTATACCGGGCACAATAAAAAATCAAAAAAAGGTAATTAGATTATAGATTTTTGACACCGAAAAAAGCTACTGGGGCAAAAGCCATTTGATGACCCAACTATCAGTTACATTCGTCCACTAAAATTTAGAAGTATGAATAATTATATGAGTGAAGTATATGAACAGATAGTTACCTAAAAAAAAAGGTATGTAAAATAAATAAATAAATACGAAAATAATTTTTATTTGATGTTTTTCAGAGAAGCCAAAAATCTATTCGAAGAAGAATCGGTAAAGCAACCTGAGCTCGTGTTAGATGAGCGTCAGTAGCAGCTTAAGTTTTCAATATCTTTAAAAAAATTATACATATAACCTTCTTACAAACGAAGTGGTTGGACATACAGTATATTCAAAATTCGTTGAAAATCGCGTTTCATAATCTGTAACAAGATTTTGAAAATTCGCGAATTTAAATATAATTGATTGTATTTTGATACTGTGGCAAAGTGAAAAAAAAATCAGAGGTTTAAGTTCACAAAATTTTAATGATGAGAGAATCAATAAATCAGTCAATCTATTAATACAATTGATTACCGATCCAACCAAGTGATAATTGTTCCAAAACATTAATTAAATTGTTATACACTTTTTAGAAGTGATGTATGTTTAGATGGATGTTTTAATTTTTTAGAGATTTCATGGTTTTTAATGGTTCAATTGATTTTTTTTTTTGTTGACAAAAATCTTCAAGAGTAAATTGAACTTGACAAAGATCAAAAGTTTTATATAAAAATAATTTGTAGAATTTTGCAATAACCATTTTTTCAGAAGAATGCCCAATTGCTTCAAATAATAAATCCTTCTCCAATTTATTTTTACCATATTTTTCCACAATAATATGCATATGATAGATAGATAAACAAACAAATTTGAACGAAATATAAATTCAAATTAAGAATTTTTGAATGAGTAGTTTAGGCTTAGGAATAGAAGTGTAGGAATAGGAATAAGAATAGCATAGAAAATACATATACTTCGTGAAATGTAAGATTTTTAAAAAACAGGAATCATTTAAACAAGACAAAAAGACAAAAAACATCACACCACCTTACCCTTATTAAGACGTTACTGGTCAATGAAAAAGGTGTCCAAAAATTTTGAAATTTTATATATAGTCAGGATTGAGGCTTTGATAAGTGTATGAGATCTTTGTCATCATTGCCTTCTTTTGAATTTGTAAAATTTTGATGTGCCCAGAATATAATTATTAATAAATTCTGATTATATTATTGACATAATCAAAATGCTTTATGCATCAACACTGTTGCTCATTTATTTAACAATGGCAACCAATACAATAGTATAAATTTACAATCTATTATGAAATGATAACATTGCTCTTTATTTAAACATGAGTGACATATATAGGTATACATGCCATGTGCACAATACATGTTGTTTCAGACATTCCATAATAAAATATTAACAAGACATTATAACATACATGTAACCAGATATTTGAGAATATCTGTAATTCCTGGGATTTAAACTTTTCTCAAATTTCAGACTTGCAACTATTGTCAATACACATGGTAGCTTTGTCTTGATCATGCCATCATAATCTTCTTCTTCCTTTGGATTTGTTGAAATTACAATGTGCTCAGAATATAAGTCTTTTATCATCACTGATAAATTCTGATTATATTGTTATCATCATTGCACACCATCAAATGCTTTATGCATCACAAATCATCATGCATTAACACTGTTGTTTATTTAAACATAGCAACCCACACCATAGTATAGGTTTACAAGTTGAGTATTTGCATGATAATATCTGATTATCTGTACTCAAATCCTTTGAATCAAACAAGACTTGTAACTGTATTGATACTGCACAATATACATACAAACCTTGTCACAGCAGACATATTTAAATTCTTGCCATGGTTCACATATAAATTTTCTTATGTGTCCCATTCATCCACTGTGAGAAGGTTTGACTGTAAACAAACCATTCCATGATCTACCATGAAATGATAACCATTGCTCATTGTTTAAACATGAGTGACCTATATAGGTCTACATGTCAAATATATGCACAATACTGTTGTCTCAGATAATTCATAATAAAATATCAGACAATGCATTATAACATACATGTAACTGGGCTTGCAACTATCAATCAATACACATGGTAGTCTTATCTTTTCTTTGGATTTGTTAAAATTATGATGTGCTCAGAATATAAGTCTTTTGTCATCACTGATAAATTCTGATTATATTGTTATCATCATTGCACATCACTGAAATTCTTTATGCATTCTCAAAATGCATTAAAATGCATTATTTATACCTCACAAAATTATCATGCATCAATACAGTTGCTCATTTAAAAATAGCAACCTATACAATAGTATCGGTTTACAAGTTGAGCATGTGCACTACACTCATCCAGATTATATCTGATCACCTAGACTCAAATCCTTTGAATCGAATTAGACTTGCAACCATTATTGATCCTGCATGATATGAAGCTAACCATTCTACAATCCATCAATAACCATTGCTCTTCATTTAAAAGCATGAGCAACCTATAGGTGTATACATGCAGGCACGTGCACAGAGTACCTGTTGTCTAAGACACATGATAACCTTTTGAGTATACATTTAACCATATATTCAAGAATATATGTACGCCTGGGATTTTTCAATCACCAAACTTGCAAATATATCAATAAATGCATGGTAGCTTCTTGAAATTATGATGTACTCAGAATATATTATTTTTATCATTAATGATAAATTATGATTATGTTTCCATCATTATATATACATCATCAAAATGCTTTACACATTGTTGATCTATCATGAATGCATCAATTTAAACAAGCAACCTATATGATATGTTTACTAGTCCCTAAAATTGAATCCTTCAAATCAAACTATACTTGCGACCATATCAATACATGTGGTGGAGATTTGTCTTATTTTCTTTGTCATCTTTAATTCTTTTTTGTTGCTGTTAGCCAAATACCATTGCTTTTTCATAAAGTTAAAAGATTCTTAATAGATGCTTCCATGTTGAGGTGCCACAACATGGCCAGGTTATAATAAATGTAAAAGTTCAATCATCAAGAGGTTTATTATAGAGTATGATAAATAAATAAATAAATTAATATAATGCAATTTTGACAATATCCTCCAGATTATATCTTAACATTGACAAAATATATGTTTTTCCCATGAATAAATTATTATTTTATAATAAATGAATGAATAAATAACATACCTTTACTTTTTTTTACTGTCTACTTCTGATTAATATCTTAACACTAACAAATTCCAAAAGTGTATCTAAATAATAATAAAAAATTTTTTTCTTTAAGGATTAAAGTTCTAATGTTTGGAATTTTATATATTTGATATTAATATTAGCATCTTTTATAGTCTCAGGAATCCTTACTATTCTAGTCTTCGAGTTTCCAAGCATGTTTATTGGTTTTAAGGCCATTTGAAAGGCAAAAATCTGCTTTATGGTCAAATTTATTGCTCACTTTTTATAATCCAACTCTTGCGGAAACATTCACCGTAACTTATGTTATGACGATCATTTTCTGTTACACATACACAGTGGACGTCCTCAGAAATTAATAAATAAATTTATCCTCAGAAATTAAGCATTTCAAAAAAAGGTCAGCAATTTGTATGTAAAATCGAAACAGTACGTACCACTTAGAAAAGTGGCGCTGCACAGGCTATATAACACCACCTCAAATTTGCGCAAGTATTCTGCTATTATTGTTCTTTCCTGAGCGGAATTGGATTTTGATTTTTATTGATGATCTACATTTTAACTTAACGCGTAACATAATAAAACTAATATATAGATAATTCAAGCAATAATAAATAAATAATGTTTCTAACTATAATTTATCATTAATAAAATGAATAAAGGTGTAAGCCGAAAAAATTTCGGCCCTTGTATATTATGTGTTAATCAAGATATATATAAACTCTATGTTAAGTATATACATATAATTGGATTTTGACGAAAATAAGTTGACAAATCAATCCTCTTGTCGATCTAATCAATCCTGACGAAAGAATGAAGAAATTTTAGAAGAAATTTTAGACAAGTAATAAAAAATAAACGAATTATTATTTAATAAATTTAATTAAAATTGAAATGTTGCGCAGAAATCAAATATTTGTACAACCTTTGAAAATCTTTGAAATGGAAAATGAAGGATATTTGAAATAGTTATAAATATTGATATTTGTAGTTATTTTGGATATTGATAATTAGGATTTACAAATAAATTTTGATTGGCAAAAAATATGTTTGCTAGTGTAACGGTTATAACAGTTCTTTTTGTGTGACTTGAATGATATCTAAAACAAAAGATTCAAACAATTTATTATCCAACTCGTACCCAAAAATTATAGAATTCTACAGATATAACAAATTACCAAAACCCGCTATATTTAATCTAAGAAAGTTTCAGTTTTTCCTTTCGAGTATGATCTAGCAGTGTTCTAAAGAAGCATTAAAAGTAAGTGAATGAGTAAATATTCTTAGATGGATTATGGTAAAGTTAATTCAAGGTACTTGAATTATTGTTTTCTTAACTTTTATTATAAATTATTTTAGGAGAGATCGTATAAAATTTAAGTGCTACAAAAATTTATAAACCTTTTTGGTAATTTTCAATGTCAAAATTACATATTATAAAACAGACAGTTCGGCAATTCTTTATGAAGGTGAAGCTCATTTGGTCACATCTGAAATACCTTGTTGTGTTATAGGGAGTTTATACGTTTTTCAATTGGTATTAAAGAACCAATATATTTATATAAAATTTTATATAATATATATATGTTTATTTGATAACTTATTGATGTTTAAAAAAAAATTATATCTAAAGGTCATGTACTCTTTTTAGGTTAGGACACAGTACGAATGTATCAGAGATTAATTGAAAAAACTACTCTAAGAAGATTAATTTCAACAGTCTTTCCAAAATTGAAAATCTTAAAAGTATGATTTCAATTGGATAAAAGATATACAACCGATCAACCTACAAATTTTACTGATGAACATATTGATGTTGTGGACTTCACCTATAATTTTCCATGTTTTGTTCGACTATTATCTGATCATTCAAATGGTAAATTCGAAAGGGTCAAATCAGCTTTTAAAAATGATTCCGTCATAGATGCGGAAAAGATTGATATAAAAAGAATTTCAGCAATTTTCTCCTGTTTATCACCCTGTCTATGTATTTACAGAGACACTTTCTACAGATAGAAGCTATCAAGTTGTTGAGGCCTACAATCGTCAACTCATTGATCCGTCAGTAGATCCTGCTGACTCTATAAAGTACTCTATCAATTTTTGTAATCCTGACAGATTTTTATTTGATCAACATGTACTTGTCATGTTTGCAAAAGATGGATGATAATTTCAACAATATTGTAACGATCATTATTTTTTGCCGGTCAATTGGGATTTGAATATTATTCAACCTTTTGGAGAAAGGCTTGCAGTAAATTGTAATTTTTTAGACAATGTTGAACACTATTATTTCTTATTATCAAATTTGAAAACTCATTTTTATGGTGCTTCAGATGTGCCGAGTCGTTATAGGAGTTTTGAAGATTGGGTCAGGTATATTGATAGTACTAATGGATGGAAAAAGTTATAAAAAATTAGAGATTCCTCCACATACAGCCAATTTTTCTGTTTTGAAAAACCAATTTAATTCAATGAAATCTAATTTTCTCAAATCAGCAAATGCAGAGATCACAAAAGAAAAATTATATCAATTTGATCATAAATTTTCAATAAAAAATAAAATTTTCCTGAGATAATGTATCCTGGAGCGAACCTTGATTGAGTGGATCTTAGCGGAGTGAATCATGTGGTGGACTTCGGAATGAATCAGGGATGCAGAAATCGTATACTAATACTAAAGCTAATGTCTTGTCATCATCTTCCCCATCTTCAAAATATCACCATCATCAGCAAAATCACCATTGCCACAACCAAAAGCTACTTCACGATCACAATCACCTTCATCGTCATCATCTACCTCTTCACCATCACACCGGTATCATCGTTACCGTAAATTAAAGGGATTGGAAATATTGGATATTTTAGAACAGAGAACTAAAAAAGCAAACAATTCGACTTCGCCATCGCCATCATCATCACACTTGAAAGGAAGAAACGCAGAAATCAATGAGATCAGGCCCAATAATATTTGATCCTAAAGGATGTTACAAAATAATTAAAGTAGATTTGTCGTTATATAGCTATTCCTGATGATCAAGTGATTGAATTAAATTTCGAAAAAACATTAGTGAAACCCTACAAAGACTTAAAAGATTCAAACCTTACTACAGAAGAGAGGAAAAGAGAAATTGAACAGCTTAGAAAGATTTAGAAGCTAGGAATGAATTAGAAACACGTAGGTTTAAAAATTTTTTTAATGATATGTTTTATATATATGCGCATGTCTCTATATAAAAAAACAAACAAATTATTGTATTTTTATTATATAATTGAATTACGTGAAGAATATAACAACATGACACAAAAATCAATGAAATCAGATCCAATAATATCTGATCCTAAAGGATATTACAAATAATTAAAGTAGATTTGTCATTATATAGAGCCATTACTGATGATCTTGATAGAATTAAATTTCAAAAAAACATATAATGGAACCCTACAAAGATTTAAAGGTTCAAATCTTACTACAAAGAGAGGAAAAGAAAAACTGAACAGCTTAGAAAGATTTTAGAAGCTAGGAACAAATTAGAAACACGTAGGTTTAATTTTTTTTGACTTATTAATAATATGTTTATGTATATGCGCATGTTTCTATATAAAAGTTTGTTATATTTTTATATAGTTAAATTACGTGAAGAATATAACAATGAGAGATGGAAATTTTAGAAATTATTTATAAAAAAAACGAGGTTCTTTTTGCTTTTTTAATGTCAATTAACCTTTTAGTTTGTGATATAGATACATACACGCGTATAGTTTGTGTTTGTTTGTACTAATGAATTAATTAGATCAATAATAAGCAAGAGAATCAATTAATTTTTTTATTTAAATGACTTTCTAATATCTTCAATGATGACAATAACAAAACTAATAATAATAATAAAATTGCACCTGAGTCTATGTTTTTACATTTAACTGATTCGTTTTGCCCAAAGTGCAATTGGATATAAAACACGGCGTGAAGAGACTACTAAAGCGTTTTTGGAATTGAATTTATCTTGTAAATCTTTTTGGACATTTGGTGCCTAAAATTTATATTCATTAATGATTAATAACCAAAACAAAATAAATAGAAAAAAACCACAAACTTTATTCTCACTTCTTCATTCAAATACTGGTCCAAACTTTCTTTATTATCAACCTCAAAAACCACAGTGATATATTTATGTACTCGGTCGGGATTCTTTATCTCAGTATCGCCTTCTTCCTCATCATTTGGAAATCGTTGAAACACTTCTGCATCACGAAACGATTTTTTTTGGTTTATTGTTTCATTGAGATAATCTTGTAACCATTTCTCAAAACTTTCAATGATTTCTTTTTTTCGATAAAGTTATGTATATTAATTATAAAGATTATGTTAATAGTGATTGATATGTTGATAAATACTTACCTAGGTCAATAGTAAAATTTACTTCATAAATAATAGGTAAAATTTTGCTATCATCAAATACTTTGATATTGGAGTTTGATGACATTTTTTTTTTAGACTAAAAATTTTTTTTTAGATTTTTGTCTATATTAAGCATACAATAAACAGTAATAATCAAACCAATTACAAATAAAAGATACAAGAACAAGAAATAATATTTCTACTTTTCTTTTTAATTATAATCCTCCTTTTAATCATCTGTTTCTTTTATTAATATCAATATAGTAAAAATAATAGAAGAAAGCCATTAATTCAATTAATCCAACTAATGTTAATAATAGTGATAATTCAAGTAATAAATCAATGAATCAACAGACATGTAATTATTTTCTAGAGTAGAATCAAGAATTGATGCAACGGTAATTGTGTCAATGTCAAACTTTTCTCTGGTATCATAAGATGAATTGTGTGTGGGTGGTGGATTCGTGAAAACAGCAATAAATTAATTTGTAGGAAACAGAAACTTCATTTGTGAATAAAACAAGAACCAGGATATCATCTGACAGAAAACATGTAGTTTGATACTTTTTCTTGTGAATTGGAAAGAAGTTGGTCTTTCTTTACTCAAGGTGTAGACAATATCCGAGTTTATTCGACACAAAATATTAACATGTGAAATTTATCATCATCAAAATATCAACACAATGATTATGAAGATATTGCTATAGAAAAAGACATGGCTGATTCTACTAGTGCTACGTTAACGACTTCAACAACTAAGACTGCTGATGCTACAACTACTAATGCCGTTGATGCTACTATCATTACCATCACCATTGCCGCTGCTGAGACCACCAGCACCGATGCTAATATTATAAGGAGTGGAACATAATTTGAAACATGGTTCAAATTATTAAAATTAGATTAATGTAAAGGTTTATATACCTACCTTTAATATATATTTAAATTCGCCAATTTCCTAAATCAATATGTAATGAATGTAATGCAAACTACATCTCCCCTGCCAAGTTTTAACTTGGAACATGTGATTCCCAGGCATCAAATTTAAAATGATTGAAACCTCATGTGTAATGAGTGTTTTGTGTGTGTGTGGTTCAATGTAATAATAATTATCCCCTGGTCATGTAAGCTCCCTTCCCTACTGGGAGAGGCTCACCAAGGCTTATATACTACCCGGAGGATAACTAACTAACGTCAGCAGCGTTACTCCATTTTTTGAGATGACACGAACTCATTAAGAGTAGAAATAATGATGATATTAATTTAAAAGGCCACTCACTCACTAAAACCTTTTGAATATCCTTATATGCTCCTACAGAGGAAGAAGGAGGATTTTGAAAAAGATCACCAAAATGGATGAAGAGGAAGATCTCCCAATTTGTGAAGAGAAAACGGGAATTTTAAAAAAATTATTTACAAAATTCCAAAAAAAAATAAGCCTTTTCTTCACAATCTATGTTGTCGTCTTCGATTTCTTTCTTTATCAATACTAACAACACCAAATATTGTATTTGCAATTGTTGATTTATTGTCCACAACACTTTTATTATAGTTGCTTTGATCATTATTTTAATTGTTGTAAATCAGATCGTCAACTTATCCATCAATAAAGTCCATATGAGATTAACGCGCGCAACAATGGTCCATGACTTCGAGAGCCTAGAATGGGATTCTACACAAATTTCCCAGATCAACTTCTGTGATTTCTATCACATTGTATCAGAAATGGTCATTGCTAATCCAATCCAATTAAAATAGTAGTAGTTAACATTTTTCCTTAAGTCATAGTGCTAGTAATCACAGTAGTAAATATAGATTATAAATATAATTATTGTAATTTATATTATCTTGTTAAAGAAATAAGACTTATGAGTAAAATGAATAATTCGAATGAAACGAATAAACAACTTCAAATCTTTTTTTCTCTTGATAGGCTTGTCTTTTATATATATTTCAGAACCTTTCCCCATTTCCTCAGTTACTCTACAAGCTTTAATTTACATTTACAAATCCAAACACATATGATACTCTTCCTTGTGTTATAATTGCGTAATCAGAACTATCATGGCATGACGATGAGGGTGTAAAACGAAGATTTAATAGATCCAATTAAAGGGTCCAAGCATATATTTGTTTATTAATTAAAACCCCCAAGATTTTGCAGGACAAGATATACTGCATCATTCTGTTCAGCAATATTTAGTTTCCTTGCCTATACTCAGTAGTTGTTCGCTTTAATAGTTGTCAAAATTATCATCGTAATTATTGAATTCTTTAAGTCAAATGGCATATTGATATATACAGTGGTTATTTTATATAAGAATATTGAGTATCTATAATTATTGCCATAATCACTTTTCAATTGTGTCAACAAATATAAATAAAGACGCGAAATATTAAGAACTTGTACATTTATTTTAATTAAGTAGTAAATTTAACACGGATATCTATGTGCTATTGTTTAAAATATACTTTAAAGTCATTACGTAAGTTTAATCTATAAATTCGCCAAGAATTTTCCACGTAGTTAAAATTCAATTTTATATACTACGTAGATCCTCTGCTCTTAACATCATCATCAATCTCCAAATATTTATTCTTTATGCGTTGTTGCTTTAATAAACTAACATCAACAACGTAATCTTTAAAAAATATTTCTAATCCATTAATCCTGGCTTCATCTGAATATTTTTCGACGTCAGGATCTGTTGCAAATGTCATTGCACCCGATTTATTTAGTTTATCAAGGACTTTCCGTTTAAAACATTTTTCTTGAATGCATCCCCATGGTTTAATCGAATTAACACCTAAAATTGTAAATGCGTATGTATGAATATACGTAATATATTATGTAATGATATATTCAGGATAATTAATTACCAAATAAAAATATATAAACTGCTGATAATCCTCCCCACACTGCGATAAGACCCGAAATAACTGTCAGAAACTGATTGATAGATATAATTGATAATATTGTTAATAAATGTTAGGCTGGGTTGAGTTAATTTGTTATCTGGGAACTGAGTTTTTATTTATACTCGATTTAAAGACTTTGAGCACTAAAAAAACGTAAAAGTCTAAAAAATTTTATGCTTACACTTTTATTTCTATATATATTAAATATCAAAAAAAAAAAAAAAAAAAAAAAAAAAAAGTTATTAAACCAATTATCAATCAATTCAGTCATTCATTAATTCCATTTACTTGCCTTTGCTCATTTTCAGTTTCGAGTAAATAATGAAGAGCACTAATTGCAACCGCTGTGGTTTTATCTAATGATACTCTGATTGAATCTAAATCATTTATAAACGAGAAAATGCATGAACTTTTAAAATTTCATGCACAGTCATGACCGCTGGAACATATCCAATGATGAGCAGCAGTAGATAATAGGAACGAACATAACTCCGAAAAGTAGGTACAGCCTCTAAGCTAAATAAATTAATCTTTACAAAATTAGCTCAAAACCATAATTTTCGGAGTTAGGTTCGTTTCTATTATTCGCACCCGATATTTCATCAAATAATAAAATTTTATATAGCTTACGAATAGTTGTCTGGATATAAGGTATCGGATAATTAGATGAAAGTCCGAAATTATTTTGAGGTGCGTCTATTAATACATTTCTTTGACTTCTTGTCATCTTAATGAGATATTGCTAAAAATGTATAATTCATAATTATTTAATAATGATGACAATAATAGTCAATACATTAACCATCATTATTACTCACAAATCCTACTCCCAAGTCGTATTGATTTCTTTTTTGAACTGCTGTGACGAAATTTGCATAGGAGGAATTATCAAATGAATTCGCATATGGATCAATAATTGCATTGTGTTCTAATTAAAAGTCAGTCAATCAATTAATAATCAATCAATCAATAAGTCAGTCAGTCGGTCAATATAAATGATTTTTTACCTGAGTCGGACATGGCAATCATGAAAGTATTATAATCCGTATCATGATTGTATGACGGATCAACAATCGTGAAGATCATTATTACATCTTGACGACCAGGTTGTGGGTTATTGAGAAATGAAAATTTTGGTGCAAATAATCCAAACCAATACGTATTATTATATTGTAAAGTAGGTTGAGTTACATAATTTCCACAATCTACACTATTAAGATCTTGGGAATGAATAAATAATTAATATGCATAATATTATATATAATACAATGCAATATACATGGAACACAACATAGTATATAATTTACTTTGTGTGGACACACAGGATATTCTGAACTGTTTTTCAAACCATATGGCGACAACTATATAATAAATAATATAATAATAATCATCATCATAATTCAACCAACATTCATACATATGATCAGCTAATCAATCAACTAATCAATCAATCAATCAATCAATCAATCAATCAATCAATCAATCAATCAATCAATCAATCAATCAATCAATCAATCAATTCACCTGGTAGGGGAAACTCATCCATTGAGGAATAACTTGTTGTAACAGTTGGCCTATCATTAGCCACTCCAGCCGCTAATATCAAAAAATAAACTAATGATATAAATATAAATATCACAACAGTACACCCTCTGCAACACACGACCGGAAATGGCTCGGTTTTACGTGCTCTCTTAAACAATAAATCTTGCAACATTATTTTCAAAATAAATGTTTCAATTAATAATAAGAAAATTATTGATTTTTTTTTGAAAAACAGTTTATTTATTGAAAACGGATTTTTACAAGTAACCTTATTTGAATTTAAAATTTAGAAATAGGACACATGTAACATCAAAGATTAATTATTTCATTCTTTCATTCACGATTAATTTGGTGTAAAACTGTTTTTTTCGGCGACGATCATTTATTAAACAGAGCAAAAAATGAACTATATTAAGATTAACTCCTTGTTTGTTTGATGCTGTTGTGCGAACAATTCACCAATTAATAGGAGTTTTGCGTCTTTCCATTCCCATACATCTTGACAAACACATCTTTTTTATTCTACACACAATTGGTTTAGGGGAATAAGATTTATGTTTTGTTAAAAATGCTTCTTCAACGAATGTTTATCGTCGATTTTTTTATAAATCGACTCCGGATCCATTTCTTTTTTTGAATAACTCATCCATTGATTGTTTCAAAGATGGTTTTTGCGATAAACTTTAAAATCATTCGGTTCAAGTTTCATTGAAAACCTTTTATTTCTATCTACAGTCAGACTCCTCTATAATCACATGGTCGGTACCAGATAATTGTTGATGATTATAGCTAATGTGACTGTATAAGATCCCTCCTATATATAGTCACTTGTTATAAAATTTAAAAATTCAGTGATTATTAAAAAAGATTTTTTTTTACAAGAATAATAATGAAAATAGTTTCAATTATTTATTGTAAAAAAAGGTTTTAAACTTTTGTGTTTTTGAGAAAAAAAAATTAAATTTTTATATTCATTCTCGTTAAATTCTAAATCATTTTGATACTCAAAAATGTTCAAAGCATTCGCAATAGTCACAATAACTTTTGGTTCATCAATACCTTTACTTTCTGATTCATTATTTTCATTGTTTACTTTGTTCAAAACCATTCGGACTATGCTATCATCATTTAAGGGCTTTTCCATCAAGTTCAATCATTGTCATTAATATAATTATCATCAAAATTTCTAAATCAACATTAATACCTGATTAATTTAAGATTCAATTATTCTATCGGTGGTGATTTGTTCAATTTCAATTGTAGTGATTATACTATGAAAGTGACTGTGTATGATAAAATTTAATCAGAGCCAAAAGGCCCAGTGATTATATAGGAGTTGTGATTGTATAGGATGTGACTATATAGGAGCTTGACTGTATTTTTAATCTTATCAAATCACAAGGTCAAAATGAAAATCACGAAAAAGCAAGCAATGGTATAATACGGTTCCCTATAGTCAACACAAATCAATCCCCAAATGCTTTTTTACCTGTACTAAAATATGCTTTGTCCTTTTCTCTCAACTAGAGACGTTTTTTCTGTAGCTATTTAAGGCACAACATCTGTATTTGGTTATATGGCAACATGTCTACTTTGTGATATTTTTATTTTGGGGACATGTTTAGTAATCATCACTTTGTGATGCTAAATCACCATGAACTTGGATATTTGCAGACGGTTTTGGAAAATAGTAAAGCTGTAACAATTTTTCTCAACGCAAAAAAGTTGTCGGATGTTGAGGGAACCCGAGGCCAATTACAATACTCTTACGGTATAGAACAAAATTTAAATATTATGTGATCCATGCATCAGAATCTAAAATCAAAATAAAGGCTTTTCTTACATTTTGTGGATTAGAGATCGGGACCTGGGTTTCTTCAGTGAACACATGTCACTCGTAGGTAGGCCGGGTATTCGGGTCTATTATTTTATTCCTGATAATAAACAATGTATCATGCGTAATTATTTATTAACTTTTAAAAATCACACGTCAAGGGCCTGTATTATTCTAAAGAGGAATGTTTTATGTTATAAATCGGGAGCAACGAAAATATATTATTCTATGGCATTGTAATGATCGACACCGTGTAATCTCAAAACAATAATGATTGGTTAAATTTTATGGGTATTTTTAAGCATATTTAAAAAGTAATCAATAATTACAAATTATTATTAAAAAAAAAAAGCAACTTTTTGTTATATTCCCACTTTGTATGCGAGATAGTAACGACCGGGTCCTTGCCATTTATGGTTACATTGTATATATATATTATTGCTTTATAATTAATAATTAATTAATAATTTTCTTTAATAATTCGTAATCAAAAGATGATGTAAGCTGATGGATGATGCAAGCTATGAGGGAGTTTTGCTACAAGAGACATAAATATCTAACCAAAAGTACTTAATGTAACTTTAATATAACTCTAATTATGTTGTCATAATAAAACTATTGTTAATTGACAAAGCTATACTTATTTAGTTAATTAATTATAACGATTTCTGGGATTTACAGTGGAACCCATAAACACTATGTTTCAACGTGTTTTTTGGGGTTTAAGCATGTTTGGAAAAAGTTAAGCGAAATGCCAAGTAAATAAGATGAGTAACCAAAATAATTTCTTTGCTTGATTGGTTAAAAACTTGTATTGGTTACAAGTTTTTGAATAAATTCAAAATCTCCCGCGATTGGCATATATTTTATGTGTGTGTGTGTGACAATATTTACAAAAAATCAAATCAGGATAACAAATCCCAATGTTACATAATACAAATCGGAGTTGACGTGTGTGTGTGAAATTCAAATAAGCCAATAGGAATTTCGCACACATTAAAATTTTTGTTCCAAAAAAAGGAATACTTTTGCCTTTTTTAGAAATATATACGAACATAAGGAGTAAATTACAACAATTTGAAATAGATATTATTTAGGAATATTAAAAAAAAAAAAAATCCACCTCTTAAGATCAAGCGATAATAAACTCTTTCTATAAAATTAACGAAGAAGTTAATGACGATGATTGCATTGTATGTATTGAGGATTGGTACTAAAATAAGGTTTTCTTTAATTGTACACGTGATCGTGTTCATAATTCATTTATTATTATAATTGTGCGGTGTCCTATAAAGAAGATTATTATTATTATGTGTTAATTCATAAATCATAAAAATTTTCCGCTTACATAAATAAGGGTATGTAACACACAGTGCGTTTCGATCTATACAGATTTTGGGCTAACAGATGAAAATCTCGGAACCAAATCCACTTATTGTTTGGCGCAAACTGTAACAAAACCAGACAAGGTGAACATTTGTTGATGCATCTTTAGGGGTTTTCTTTATCAATAATTTAAATTAAAATAAATTAAATGAGTTTTGGTCATTAAATGGTTTCTAAGATTTCTCTAAACTATAGATATCCTTTATAAAAGATTTTTTCCGTATAATTATTGATTCATTTTTTTTTTCTAACGAATAATTTTTACGTGTTCAGAAATCGATTATAAAAAAAATTGAGTTCCTTTATGCGCTTTTTAATTATAACTATAATTGGTCATAACTCAATCAAGTCTTCTTTTTACGACTTTGCAGACAAATCCATTCTACATGATAAATTTGTTTAATCTGGTGAAACGTAAAGCTAGGGTTATTAACAAAGGCATGTTGTTCTATGAGCCTGATTTAATGTTTATAGATGATGGCGTCAATATTTAAAGAACAACAAGTTTAAAATCGAGAATGCAATGCGAGCTTTGAAACACGTGTTTTACTACAAACAACAACGTCATAATATTCAATCGTAGGTATATTTTCTGTATTGGAAACATATGTACTCTCGCTATCGTCTAATCTTGTTGTAGTGACTCTACTTAAAGTATTAGTGTTACTGACAGATCCAACGAATGCAATATGACATACTTATTATTATTATACTTGTTGTGTAAATTCTTAAAAGTTGAAGGTGATGTAGAAGATATAGATGATGATAAGGATGATAATAGCAACTAACGATTATTTATATAGTGTCACAGATTTGACTTTTGGAAGGGAGAATTTAATTGATGATAATAAAAGTAATATATAGATAGATTATGTACTAATGATATTTCTCAAGTCGAAACTTGTTGTCATTTCTTTTATTCAAGTTATTGTTAATGCACATGGAATTTGGCTATGTATACTACTATTTTATCTACTTTTATAATGTTGTCGTCATAATCGACTTTGTCAACCTAATTACCGTGTAAATAAATATTAATAAATAATAAATAAATAATAAATAAATTATAAATAAATAATAAATAATAAAGCAAGCAATAAATAATAAATAATAAATAAATAATAAATAAATGATGTAAAATAATATAATAAAAATATGCAACCCATATTATTAAAAAGATCGAGATTCAGACGACAACGGTAAAAGGCGAAAACAAATCAACCTATATCGTTGTACATATATGTTGTGAGCCAAAAACCAAATTTGTGTCAATTCGATTAAATTTTAGGGTGGGGTGTTTGGATGCAGAATTCTGATTGGCTAGTTTGAATTTCACGCGCGTGAATTTCAATTGACACAGATTTCAAATTTACGCACAACATATAAATCTATTCCATTTATCGATAGGATATATATCTTGGGAACAAATTTAGGCGCATTTATTAGTAATTAGAATTTCGTATTCGTCAAATGCACTCAATCAGATGTTTGCCATATGACGCTAAATAGGGTGAAAATGTAAAGCTAAACGTGATAATATGCACAAAAATTACGAGATGGTAAATTTTCGATCTTTTGTATATTTTTTCGTTAAAAAATATGACATTAATTAAAAATTTTTTTTCATTTAACAACCAACGTCAATTTTTTTTATAAATAACATTCGAACAATAGTGATGGTCGACAATTGAGGAAGTTTTATCATAGATGAATTGTTATATGTATAAATCATGCTCTCTTCCAAGTATCAAAAGCAATTTTTTGTCTAAAGGGATCTGCAAAAATTTTAGGTTGATTGGTGGGTTAATTGAGATAAAACGCCAGCTGAAAATTCATGCCGTTAGTTGAATATAAGCTGAATTATTAATAAAAAAATAGGAAGTCTATCTTTTTTTAAGTAAGCCGACATTATATATAGGATAAATTTATAAAGTGCAGACTTCCCGATATTTATAATCCATCAATAAAGTATGCCAAAAAGGCAACATAAATTACGATTTGTACAATTCCGACCCAATTTCCTTTTTGTGGCAACACAATTAAATGACGTTGCTAGAAAGTGCCATCCATAGTCAACCGAACCTCAACTAAATTAAAAACTTTTCCTTTCGGGTATTATTTCCAATAGACAATCTCGATGCTATTTTTACCCATCAAATACTCGTTGTTTCTCCAGATATTTTCACATATGCATTCTTTATCATTTCAGGTTAAAGCTCATAGCCATGTCGGTATTATCTAAGTTATTGTAAAAATATTATAAAAACAGTTATTATGCTCGATGAGAAATCTTTGCGAATCACGCTTTTTCTACCAATGTGATATTCAAAAGTACTTGTAAGGGAATATTTTGAAGCAAAGAGACTAGTGTTAGTTTCCAAAACTATAGAATTTCGCAATTGTGCGAAAGTCAAAAGGCTTCTCAATAAGTCGATACTAGTTTTGACTTACCACTTCAAGATAGGTTTGACGACCAACACTAATGTATAAGAGGAAAAATGAATATAAATAAATCATCGTAATGAATATGAAAAAGTAATTATTTTTCAAAAGTAGGTTGTAAATATGATTGCTCCTCAAAAATCCCAAGGAATGAATTTTCGAGCATCTTTTTGATGACCCAACGTACAGAGGATGATGGAACAATAAGTATGAGCAGATGTCTTGAAAATAAATAAGAAAGTTTTAATATTTTAATTGAAAACATCAAATATAACTAATACTATATGTGTTTGAGTCATTGAATATCATTTTTGCAAAGCAAATAAAAAGGACGAGTCCGATAATAATATTCATAAGTAACATGGCTAAATTTTGCAGCATTGATTTGTTTGATACTTTTAAGATTGGCTTGCTAATGTTTGTTTTGATAAAAATATAAAAGCCATTTTCTCTTTTTGAACTAGACAATGCATTTTGAAAAATGGACAATACACATAATGATTGAAGAATGTGCATGAACTTCATTAGTTTCTAGCCCACCATCAATATAAAATTTTACATCATAATTGTATTTTAATTCCAGTAATCTTTCGAAACTGCTTGCGTTATTTTTACTTTTAGGATAGAGTTCAAGCTGATTGATTTATTTATTTTACAAATTCGTAGCAAATTTAACACAATCAAATAATAATAGTTATTATTTTGTTCTAATTTTTTTCGAGTTAAAATGAATAATATATATCAGGTATGTGTAAAGCTATTTTTGTTCGGCTAAAATTGATAATGTGTTTTTTCCCATAAATCAGCTTCTGATTTTTCGTGTACTGTATATTGTAGATCGTATTTTTTTAGTTTAAATTTGTATCACTTTATCGACCAATTATGCTGTAAATTATTGTAAAGACCTCTCGAAAAAATTTTTTTATTCCCACCAATAAATTAATACAATGATTGATGTAGCTGGGTTGAATCGGTTCTTAATAATAATAACTCTTAATCAAGCATGTATGTACAGATAAATTCGACAATTTTGTCCTTTCAATAATCAAAAAAGAAATGATCTACTTTTTTAATAATTTAAATGGTAATAATTGCAAAATAATGATATTGCTTTTGATTCTTCCCCTCACAAGCTATATATATATACATCAATAATGGAAATGTTCAATGGGAAAGAAGATGGCGATTATCCATCACTTGATAAATGCACATAAATAATATTTTATTTTACTGTTGACGAAAAATTTTGATGTAAAAAGAAAAAGAAATGAGTCCAGAATTTAAATTATAAAATATCATTATTAGAAAAAGAGATATTTGGGAGAAGAGTGAGAGCATTTCAGAGTGGATTGATGATAACTTTGAAGAGTTAAAAGTATGCCAAAAGAAATTTTTCATTAAATTTGAATTATTTCTTCAAGGAATACGAGAAAGATCACTGGTTTAAGGATAAATGTAACGATATTCAATAACAAACTATATTTATTGTGGTTAAAAACCTATCGAATTCAATAAAAGTTCCAGGTGAGGTTTTAGACTAAATCTAAAGCTAGTTTGGGGTGGTTTCAGTCCAGTGTTTTCTAAACTAAGAGTTTAGGGTCACCAGATATTTTTATATCTAAAAAAAAAATGATAATTCAATATTAAGCAGAGTCAAAGCCTAAATTAGCAATATATGTATATTATAATTGATAAACAAGATGCTATTATGTAATATCCATAATCGCATGATTAATATTTCTAAATTTGCCTAACCCATAAATAAAATTTGTGGTGCGGGTATTGTGCAGGTATTTTTGTGGATGTATAAACAAGATGGTAATGTGAGATAATTCAACCTAAATATAGTAATAGTGACCCTTGTTTATTGGGAATTGCTTCAATATAACTAAATGTGGGGTACTGGACGGAGATCCCCTCTTTGAATCAAAGCGCTTCGAATTAAAATTGACCAATCAAAATTAAAATCTATAATAATAATTAATAGAATATTCTTATTCAAAAAAAAAAATTCTTTTCAAAATTTATTTTTTTTTAAAAAAATGGATTCAACAATATTAGAAAAATATTTTAATGAAAATGAAAGATTACTAAATGCAGGAGACTTCTATGATGCAAAAATTTATGTTGGTGTAGAGCCAACCATTATAGAAATCCATGCGCATTCATCAATCATATGTGCTCATTCTCCTTTTTTCCGAAACGCATTACTTAATGCAAGGAAAGAAAACGGTTACTATATTATTGAGATAATAAGTATCAATGAAATCGTTTTTAAGGCTATACTTAGGTCGGTTATTTATTTTATTTATTTGTTTTTTTTTTATTATTAATATAAACAGCACAGCAATAAGATAGTAATAATAATGTTTATTTTATATTTAACAGATTTATATATACTTGTAAAATTGAATTAGACAATTTTACTGGAGTTGGTATATTGCAATTATTGATTGCGGCTGATGAACTTGGTCTTGAGTCATTATATGAATACGTAATGAATTACTTTATCCAAAATCGTGATGATTACATTAAAGAAAATCCATTTACAATTCTAAAATCAATATACTCCAATGGAGAAGGCTTTAAGGAATTGAAAAATATTTGTATAGGAAAAATTTGCGATTATAGTGAAAATTTACTTCGGTCAAATGAATTCGAATTATTGGAAAAACCAATTTTATTGGCTATACTTGAGAGAGACGATCTTTACGTTGACGAAATAATTATTTGGGAGAGTATTCTTAATTGGGGATTGGCCAAACATCCAGAAATTAATAATATTAATTATGTTAAGCTTTGGCCAAAACAAAATTTTGCAGATTTAGGAGACACGTTAAAAGATTTTTTTCCATTAATTAGATTCCAAAATATTTCTAGTGCTGATTTCCGTTACAAAATCATGCCTTTTAAGAAGCTGTTTCCCAAGGATTTGTGGGAAACCCTTTTAGATTATTATTTAGTTTCTGATAAACAACCAAATTCAGGTTTATCGCCACAATCAAGAACCTCATCGCTAGCATTTAATAAAAATCTTACATTGCTTTTTGCAAGTTGGATTGATCGAAAACATCCACCATATACCTTATTAAGAGATGTCAAATACGAATTTAATCTTTTATATCGTAGTACTAGAGATGGTTTAGATGCAAATATATTTCATCAACAATGTGATTATATCAACCAAACTCTTACAGTTGCTAGGATAAGAAATTCCAAACAATTGGTTGGTGGTTATAATCCACTCAATTGGTATGGAGACGAATATAAAAATACAACCGAAAGCTTTGTGTTTAATATATTGGATCCAAATGATATTAGTACTGCACAATTCAGTTATGTTATTAGCGATTATGGTCATGCAATTAGATGTATTCCAGATTATTTACCTACTTTTGGTGTTGGTCGAGACATTGCATTCAAACCAAATGGCACTGTTCGTAACTTTCCAAGGACTTATAATAACATCAATATGGATAGGGTAAGTTATTTTGTTGAATTAGAAGTTTTTCAAGTAATTTATAAAAATTAATATAATCATTACGTTAAAGTCTGTGTTCAGTTCATTGTAAAAATTTTGGCAGAAAAGAACATAGTTCATTCTTTTATATTTGATCAAGCTTTATAATATCTAAAACTTGAGATAATGAGTTTTTAGATTAAATTATAATTATTTTTTTTTATTAAATTAAAATAATAGAATAAATTTATTATTAAAATTTAATTAGGATTTTACAATTTTACGACCAACTCCCTTTGATTATGTGAAACTCGTTCTGAATTCAATTTCACTGAAATTATCGAGCGAATTATTTGTCCTTTGTATATTTGCATGGCACAATCAATTTAATTTCGGAAGCGGCAACGTTTTATGTCTCCAAAATAAATATGATAAATATAATACGACTAATCAAAAAATTAGATTAAATATTAATATATATATATATGTGATCTAAAATTACGAGTTAAATAATTTTCTTAATTAGCGTTACGCGATACAATTCACTCGGTCTTTCCGTCCAATCTATATGCATTAACGTGCTTTGCGCGGGTGATTTATGGAAAGAGAAAAAGCCGGAAAGGAGCTCGATTTACTCGATGAACCATTCTCGATCAATTTTGAAATATATATTTCTATTGATTTATGCGTATAATTTCGCTATGAAGAGAAGAATAATAACTGTTATAAGAAAGAAGTGGTGCGACGTTTATTTCCTTTTTTATATGAAAAATTTTTCTTATATTCCTAAGCTTAAGCTATATACACTCGCTCAAAAAATCGAAATCATTTATTATAGTTTTCATTACATTAGATTGAGCCAATACGGCTACGAAAAACAAAAACCTCATTATATTTGATTTTCACAAAAAATTTTTATTATTAATAGCCGTTGAAAGTAGTCGAAATTATCCACATTGATGGTATTTTGAGAATATGTATAGGACCGCGAAATTTACTATTATTATTATCGTGTATCATTATAAATTACTATTACGAATACTACTATTGCGAATCGAAACATTACGAATATTCGAAAGCACTATTAATACTCGAAAACATCAAGAGTATTTGAAGGTACATCACAACCCCAATCATCATGATGGATTTTACACCAAATGTAACAACCATCATATCCTTTGCTTTCTCCAATCTTTATATTGTCACATTCACTTATGTTAATTGGTACAGCTGGCACAAGAATTAATTCTCTGTAAAAAGACAGGCAGGACAGCATAGAAAATTATTATTGTAAAGAATTTTAATAAATAAAGACAACGTGTCACATGTGATATGTGATAATGTATTTACAGATTAATATAAAATTGTATTTTTTTTACAAATAATAAATAAACATTATATACACATCAAAAAAAAAGTTTAATAATTGGGAAATTTATTTATTTATTTTATTTATTTCTCGTTCATTAATCTTTGAATCAATGGATCTTTTCCACCGCTATTACTGCTACTAGACGATAATGATGATAATAAATCTTGTTGACTTGAACTTGCCCGTCTTCTTTTTCTTGTTGAGGTATAGATAAAATCAGATGGTATAGTATGACCTCTACTAGGTGATAATTCCGCCCCAAAAGATCTATTATTTGCTATTTTTTAAAAAGAAAAGATTTAATATAGATATAGAGAAAATAATGTTTATAGGATTGATACGTTACCATGACCACTATTAAGAATATTATCACCAAAATCTATTAATGATGGCGATAATGATAATGTGTTGGTAGATAAATTTATTGGTGATGAAAAAGAAGGTCCGGCGGAGATAGTAGTGGGAAAAGAAGTGGTGTTGGGCGATAGAAAATAATTATCCATCAATCTACGAAATGCATTTTGAATTGGTTTTAACTAGATTATAATAATTTGTTACTATAATTTTTAGAATGATGATATATTTACGAATTATATAAAATATATTTATAGAAAAAGAAATAATAATAATACTTTTTCAGGTGTTCTAGAATATACACGTATTATTACTTCTTCGTATTGTTCAGGTACTAAATAACTTGTTTCATTTCTAGGTATACCAAAAGCTACAAGCAATATATTTGAACGAATTAGAGATAATTAATAAATTAATATAGTTTATAGGCGTACGTTCCTATAAACATATATATAATATTCACCTTTATCATGATTGTATTTATTATAAAATTTTACAGAATCCACGGGATTTTGGTCACTTTTAGAATAATTGATTGTGCATCTATGGACAATTATATCTTCTTTGGATAAATTATCATTATATGAAGCTATTAATTCTGGATTGATTTGCTCCTAATTATAATGAAAATAATGAAAATAATGAAAATAATGGTCATGGTAATTTAGCTTGATATAAATAGCCAACCGTTAAACCAGCTAGCCAACTAATTGATTAGTTAATCGATTAATCAATTACTTTTGTAAGATGATTTTTCATACAAGTAGGTATTAATAATTCATCAGCCAATTTGTATAATTGTCTTTTCCTAATTCTTTTCAAAATGGCTTTAGATTTTTCTAATCTCTAATAATAACACATATACATATATACATACATAATATTAATATAATTAATATATCACCCACCAATTAGTTTTTAATTTTTAATTTTACCGTATCTTCTGAATGTTCAATTTGATTAAGAATAGTATCATCCAATTTTAAATAACGTTCAGCTTTAAAAATCGCTTCTGGAAAATTGAAAACGCAATTTGCTTCAACTAAAACATCTGTCAACATATGTCCAATTGCTGCACCTAAATTTATAAATATCTAATTAATTAACCGATCGATTTGCCAAATAATCTTCTTTTGCTTTTTGTTAATAATAATATAACAAGCAATAAGTATGATGAAATAATCACGAAAGATTTTATATTTACCCACAGGGTGATTATAAACTTTTTTGTGCAAGGAATATCTTGTATGGAATAAATCATAGATGTTATAACATTCCTTATGAAGATAACAGATTTGATCATCAATGACACGACTAAACTTCATTAATCGCGAGCTGTCATATGATGATTTTATTCCTAGATTATAACAATCTCGTTCTAAATAATCAAATTTATCCACATCAATCGAATTACGTTTATTTGCAACAATATCAAATAGAAAATCAGGTCGGCTACTTTTTTTTATTTTTAGTAGAAATTAAAAATTTTTCATTAAACATTTTATACAGTGTTAAAAAAAAAAAATTATAAAAAAATTTTTTTTTGCTTAGCTAACCTCGAAGAATTTACACCAGATATTAAAGATTTAATAAATTTCACATTGTCTGTGCTCAATTCAATTCCTACTATTTCATTATGTTCAACTAAATGATCAAACATCATTTCTGATGCCATTTCATGCTTCCATTCAATATCTGGTCTAAATAAATGATATTATAAACTAATATTATAAAAATGGAAAATTACAACAATAAATAAATAATAATAATAAAAACAATTAATTACATCAGTGTAGGAATAACATGATTATCAAAAATATGACTAAAAGGTCCATGACCTAAATCATGGCATAAACCTGCCAACGTCACACACTCTAGGTCCAACTCGTTCTCAGCTCTTAATTCAGGTTGAATTTGATAAAATTTTTTCAATAGCTTATTTGATAAATGGGCAACCCCTAAACAATGCTCAAATCTATTATGGCTTGCTCCAGGAAAAACATAATATGTGCTTCCTAATTGTTTAATGTTTCTTAGTCTTTGAAATTCTGGTGTGTCAATAAATTCCATGGTCCAATCATCAAATTCCATATATCCCTACAAGAATAATAATAATTATTATTTAGAAAAATTTTTTTTAAAAAGATTTAAAATATATTTACATGAATTGGGTCGTTAATTCGTTTGTTATAATCATAATCAGGATTTTTTACATCAGAGTTCATTTTTTACATTACAAAAATTCTGTATATATATAAAAAAAGTATGATTTAAAATGTCAAAACAAGATGAATACAACGTGTAACAGACGGACCAAAAAACAAATAATAAATGAGGTTAAATGGATCGGCTAATATTAGTCGCGTTGGGTGCTTTCACATGGCAGCGGACTTGGTATTTATTAAAAAAAATTTTCACAGAAGAAATATGGAAACCACGTTGTGAAATAATGCTAATCAATGAACATTCTGCTGGTATAGATAGAAAGCAAAAACATAAAAAGAAACCATTAAATTATGTATCTACAATATCTAATAATCATAATATCCTTAATGACAATTCAGAATTGGGTAAAAGAGGGATATTACATTCAATTAGATTTGGAGGTGAGTGGTTGAATTTTATAGTAATAGTTAACTAGCCATTGAATTGAGAATACTAATTAGGTGCATAGGCATTAACTTTAAGTAGCCTAGCTGGTTCGATTTTTGAGTTACTAAATGGCAAGTTGGTCCCATGCACTCCAAATTTTTTTTTGGATTAATAATAGCAGGGCAGTAGTTTTATTTTCTTTTATTTAATTGTTTGTATTTTATTATTATATTTTACACAATTATATACTTTAATAAAAATAAACTTCAACTTGGGAAAAAAAAAAAATTTTTCACAAGCATATTAGAATAGATAAAAAATCTGCCTCATTTAAATGGCAAACATAAGTATTTATAAAACAAACATTTCTCATTAATATCAATTGTCAAAAACTTTTATGGATTGCATTACATATCTGCTGGGAAGATGTGAATATCTCATTTACAGACAAACCTCATTATAACAAAGCATAACCTACATCAGGAAATTTTTCTGACATGGATTTATGTAATTATTACACTATTTATGTAAGTTTATGGCAGGCCCATAATATTATGCAAATAAGCATACAAAATTATGCAACTATTGCATTGAGTGTAAATATTATATAATTTTTATGCAAATATTACAACTTTACACATTAAAATTTATGGATGTAATATTGCAGTGGGGAAAATTTCCTGATGCTTCTGCACATATAATGGGGTATTTAAAGCAAAAATTATTAATCCACAACTTACAGCCACATGTTTCTCATTTTACTTAACCCTTTTTGGTATATGTCATTCAACCTTGGATACTCCATTAAGTCAAGATTCACATAATCAAAATTAATTCTAACAATTCAATGGAGCTCCCTGCTCATAGCAACATAAACATGCCCTTTTGACATGTTTTGGTTTACACCTATTGTAGTGTGATATATGGTGAGTCACTGTGTTTTATGCACAGTAATGGAAAAGACATTCTGGAAACTGACATATTGATGCTGGGGTTTCTGTTCACATCAAAATGTCTCCTTCTGCATGATAACATTTGCAAAATCATCAGTTGTTGGGAAGGTCACCTCAACATTTTGGTCATCAGTTATCACACCAACTGTTCCATTGCAAATCTTGTGGTTGAATAACTTGTTGCTAAGGAACATCACCATTGCTCCTTCCTGCAAAGTGGCAAGACAAATGTTATCCTATTTATTATATTAAATAGTGATGAAAATACATTTTTTAATTAATTAAAGTTTATGTGATGGAATTTTTCATTGTTTCCTTTGATCATGTTATCTGACATTGGATAACAATAAGGAAAAGGAATTCAACTATCATTGAGACAAGACAAGTCAAAATGTTAATTATACATTTGTTGTACACATGTTACAATAATGAGTGATGAAAATACTTTCCTTAATTAATTAATAAAGTTTATACAATTCCTGCACCAAAATGCCTTCTCATTGACTGTTCATAAAACAGAGGGTTTGACCTTACCTTGTATAACCATCTCTATTGATGAGAACATATTTGCTGAAGACCAAGCTTGAGTAGTGCAAGCTCCTTGGAAAACTTGAACATCCTGAGATTTGGTTTTTCTCAAATAAAATGTGCTTTGATCAAATACAAGAGATTGGAAAAAATTAATTATGATGGATTGAAAATTTTAATGTAAAATGTTTATTATATTAATATAACAAAGTAGGCTTGATGATACCAATGACCTTTTCTGGGGGTGCCTGCTTACTGCAATATCTTGCTATTTAATACTAATAAAATAATTACTTGTGGATATCTCAAACAACAGAGAAGTAAATATTCTAGCATTTTAAAATGTAACAGACCTTTAATTCTCAATTTAAACTTAAACAAAGGAATTTAAATGATCAAATCACTTTAGAAATAATCAAAAGTACAAGTAATACATTTAATTAGAATAAATTAAGATTTCAAAGAAATTGGAGAACTAGATGATAGAACCTAACATATATAAATAACATTATAACTTTCTCAACTTCATGTATCATCATCATAAATCATCATAATAATAATTTAATAAATAACACTGTCCTCAACCTTGTCCTTGTCCTTGTCATAATCTTCAAATTTATATTTTTGTAATACTGTAATAATAAATCTATCTCTAACAATGAATTCACACTAATCCCAAGCATAATAAATTTTCTCTTATTTTATATTTGTCTATTATTTTTATTATTTTTTATTTCTTTTCTTTCCTTTTTAGTGAGGAATTTTATTTAATAGTTTTTGGATGTGTACCTAACTTGGTAGTAAAGAGGAAAACAGCTAGAAGGGTGCCCACTAAGAAATGTGATCAAGATATATAGTGCAAAATCTAAAGATATTGTTTAGTATAAGGAATTGTTTAATGATAGTGAAAGACAATTTTGAGAGTAAAGCATAAATATAAATTCATGGAAATTGTTGTCATGGTTTAGTATAAATAAATTGGAAGAAAATGCATTAACATTGTTGACATATTATTATAAATAAAATATTGAGATTTGCTGTGAGATGCAGATTTTTATCTCACAATTTTTATTATTATTATTTGTAGTGTTTATAGATGATAAAAATGTTAAAACAGTATATATAAATTTGAATATAAAAATGCTAATAAAATAATAAATAAATAATACTAAATGATGGTAAGAGGCATGGTGATAGGTCACTTCAATCAGGTTAAATTACAAGGAGGGTTTGCTTTAATTTAAAATAGATAGCATATAATCATTAAAAAAAATTTTTTTTGATAATAATAAGAGGTGTTTATTCACCATATAACACTTCCTTATCCCCTGATTATTCTCTTTCTCTAGAATTATTTTACTACTTCCTCCTCCGGAAGTATAGCTGGATTCACTGGAATAAAAAAACTAATGTGAAAATTTCAATAATCAGATGAATGAAATTTATTCATAAAATCATCTGGTATAGTTAATT